GCCAAACAACATCACAGATCACCAATTATAGTAAAATCTAGGAACTGATCGAAGCGCACGTTCTCTTGTGAACGCGCACGTGAACATCGTTACGTACAGGAAATGCAGTGTAATAAGGAAATGCGATGCTCACAAGGTGGAAAGAACGGATAGGAAGAAATGGCCAGGCGCCAAGTTTTTCTCTCGGTTTCGTCAAGTGACCGCCATCGTCAATTCACAAGCGATTCGCCGCAATCCGGCAGGAAATTCACACTTTGGACTGGACTGGTCCATTAAGTCAACAATAAAGCGAGCGCCTTCCCCGTGTATTCACCGAATATTCCTACGTTCCACACGTGGACTGAAAAGTTTGAGGGATACTCAGGGGATACACCTAGTATTTATCTTTATTAGCCTTCCAGGGCTGGCATGATCTAACTGACATTTCAGCCTCGCCTTCCCCTTTTACAGACCTGAGATATTCTTAAAATCTTATGCAAAAGGATAGAAGAAGCTATGAGAAACGTTCGTAATTCTAATATACTTCTAAAGGTTCAGTTGTAGATCCCATTACAGTAACCAGTTCTTCTGGATTGGACCTCAGGTGGAGTCCTCCTCTGGAAAGACATTTTGAAGGCATTTCTCAGAACAAGCAATTCCTTGAGAAGCTACAGGCTTATTTGCTGTTCTGAATCTCCTCCTGAGACTTCTTGATTCTTTATAGAGGCCCATAGATTTCATCCCATATTTTTTTCATTATTTGTTAATTTTTTGTAGCTCTCTCGTATCTTTAGTTTTCCGTGGCTTATTTACGGGGCCAAATCATTAAATGAATAAGTACAGATCGGTGATAATTTTGTGAAACCACCATCACAGGCACAGTGAAGGACCAGCTGAGCCTCCCACCGTGTTTCCTGTTTTAGTAGGAATAGGTGGAAAATGGAGATTCTTGGAACATCGATTGCAAACTCATCGTCTCATAAGAGTGGAATGTTCTGGCGAAAGCGCTCGGTATTATGATTAGCTCCGGCTTGCTCCCATTTCGAAAGATTTTTGAGCAGGGTCTCGGTGGCATAACTCGAAAGCAGTACCACTCCTGTCAAGCACAAACACAGGTCGACTCTCGATAAGGACCAGGAGTTCCACTTGTAGTTCTCATATGGGTCAAATTCAACTGTTTTTACGATGTTGAGTAGAAAGTTTATCGCATGGGGTATCACAACTTTTTCGAGAGTGTCTGCTCACACCCATTGCTCTACACACCTACTTCGCCAGCTCTGCTGACCCATTCATAATTATGGCTCGCCTCTGGTCGCACTTTTCGTTGTGAGGTCAGTCCGTTCTCTACAGAAAGTGCCTCCCGGACACTATCACAGTAGATGCCTGGTAGAAAAGAGCCTCAGACTCTCAGTCACATTCGTTAATGTCTGGCGAATCACTGCTTACTCGACCTTCTACTCCTGACGATTGGACCGATCTCGTTGTTGATGAAGACTCGCCTCAAGCGGTGCAAAGCCGAAAGGATGTCAATATAGAGGTAAGTGAAGCGTATCTCTGTACCTTGCGTAGAACTTTATCATGTTGTGCTGTTTAAGCTTAACGAAGTAAAGTCAGTACTGAATCAACTGACTGAGGAAACAGTGGACAGTAGCACGATCCGGAAACAGAAAGCTGCTCAGCAGTACGGTAGAGAGCTGCAGCAACAAATCGAACAAATGGAAAGTGCTCCACGGCCTCCGTTCGAGACCATTAGCCATCTTCGTCAACGAATCGAACGTGAAAACGAGCTGTACAGACGTCAATTTGTTTGGCAAATGGAAAACAGTAAGTTCCACTTTATTTGTTTACCTCTCGCCGATCAACTTGACAACTCATGCTGTTTAGTGATTCGTTTCACGACTAATGCATAGCTGGCTCAGGACTGTCACTGACTTCTGAACTCGTTTCTTCTACTGCAGCGATGGAAATGGGGATACTGTAGATATGATAGCTGTGGTCTATGGGTTGCAGTTGAATAAAGTATTTGAATATTCTTTTCTGGCATGATTCTTTCGAGATGATTTCATTGAATACTGGTTTTCCTTTATCTCAAACATGCTTGTAGTAATGCAGTGATTTTTATTATGATTATTTATTATTATAATTTTTTATTTGTCATCTCAAGAAATAATCGGTTATTTGACTTTGTACGTGGTAATTATTTCTTTACTTTTATGTCGAATATTACTCAAATACCATGTAAGTCATATTGGATCAATGAGAAAGGTTTCTACAGTATATCCTTACTATTCTTTTATTTTATTATCTCTCTTTTGATCTCTTATTTTTTATTTCTCAAGGATAATTAATGATAGTTAATCAATTATTGATTGGTTTTGTATTTGATATTATCGCATTACTGTATCGCTTATTATTTAGTTATTATAAAGGGCCTTCCATGGAGAAGGATTCCAAAATGGTGTTGTAAATTTGCATGACATAAATATATTATCTAGGCCTGAATGCCAAAAATATCATGGCAACTAGCTTTTTGGGATTGCGCCACATATTCGGCATTGGAAGCAATTGTGGCAGTATATTTAAGAACGAGCTTTTTAATAGTCGATAGTTTATACTCCAAGCGTTCTTCCTCGAGGAGGGAGCTGGAATCACTCTAGATCACGGGGGACGACGAGGACCCCGGAACGAGGCGAAGTGGTACCTTCAACAGCACTGTATCGAAAACGCAAGTGCGTAGAGAGGCTATACCGTGTGCAAGTGCATGGCACAATCCTAAAATGCTTGGCTAGCGTTAATCACCACTTTTGGTGTCAAGCAGATGGATTCCGATAATAAATAATATGATCAATATTGAAAGAAATTATCAGTAAATTAATAGATTATATTAAAATTAACACAAATAATTCAGGATAAAAATAAAAGGAAATAGTTTGTAAAAAGTAATATTCTTCTGAAAATCAGCACAGCAACTTCTGAAGTGAGTAACAACTTTTAGAAGGTTAGAGCAGAATAGCGTTGATACACCGTGATATTGTGATACTGTAATCGGTCGTCATGGAAAAATCAGTTCGAAAGATCCTGGGTCGTCGGTGGCTTAACTTTTAATTTCGTTTTGGCTTGTATACTTCCTTTCTTTCCACCCCAATCGATCAATTGAGGCCCTCTGTTCGATTTGGAGATCTTGGAGGTCAACTGATTGGTGCTGTTGAATGATTGATATCGAAAAAAAATGAAACGCTTGGGTAGTAACATAAAACCTACCCACCCCTTCTATTAAGTAAATAGCCCCTAGAGTCAGGATATCATCGCATTGGATACTTCTCCACTGTGAAGGTTCCCGAGCTTATGAGGGTCTGATCTGAGCGTAGGGCCCGCTAATATCGAAGCAGTCTAGCCAGCGGCACCCTCGTTAAGATCCTCTTAAGCTGGCGCTGCTGTTTTTTCTCTCCTCTTAGGTATATCTCATGAACATCCTTTTACTCCTACAAACTCCTCATCCTTTTCATTTCATCCTTTTCATCTTACTGTTCCTTATGCCCCAATATTGACTGCACCAATTGAAATCTGGTCTTGATTCACTTCAAGTTTTCCTACTTTCTTACTTTTTCTTTCTTTTCATGAATAATTATCTTAAAAATATCGTAATACTTTGTGTTTGTACTTTTTCCATGCATTCTGTTTCGCCATGGTCAAAGTTGCTTGCTCATCTCATTATTTATTTGTTTACTTAAATAAATGGTGTCAGTTTTGACTGGATAATTCTTCATGCCGACTTTATCTTCAATTTAGGGGTCGTTTTATTATGCAAAAGTTAATTCAATTGATTTCCCGAGCTCTTTACTCACTAATTGACACTTGACTTCTTACACCTATTAAAAATCGCTGCTTATTTTGCCCATGCCGTGCTGCTACTCTCAAATCCGATCGTCATCATGACCAGACTATGGTTTGCAACAGCCCTTCGTAGCGAAAAACTCAGTAGTCTATGTACTGCTAAAATGTAAAGAAATAAGACCCTGGTTACTACGTAGTTGCAATGCGCCATGCATTTGACATGCATGTGCTATCGAAAGAACAAAGTGTAGGCCATTTGCAAAATGCACATTATGCTAGGGAGAAACTGTCCTCAGCGCCCATATAATGCCTTCATTTAACAACGATTTAGAGAAAATCTGTTACGGGCTCACTTGCATTTTTACCTGGAAAATAGAGTTTCCATCTATAAAATTTCACCTTTTCTTTCAACCCAATTGCTACGTTATATTGCTTTACACTGTACTATTTTATGTTGAGTCTTTGATATACTCCACGATATACGAATGTTTTTTAATTATTTAATTATTATTTGTGATTGTTTAGGTGGTTTTTTTTGGTTACGGCTGAACCATATTCCGCCATGAAATATTGTATGGAACACAACCTACTGAGACGATACTCAGGTGAAGTAGGTGAGGATGACACGCCTCCACTGGCATGCCCGCCTTCAAATCGACCTATTGTCTACGTGTATACAAAGGAGTGCAGAAAATGCAACGAGTATCCAGTTATTGGGCTTGCTTTGGAATGCAATTTCCGTCTATCGATGACATGTGGGATCCAGCCGATGTTGAGGTGAGCGCATTTTTCCCATTTATTCATCTATTCCTCCATTCGGAAGGGTTATGTTAGGGTAGACCTTTGAAGCGATCAGATCTAGTAGGTAGTGTAGTTGGCCAGAACATAGCAGAGCCTTCTCATTCTGAACTAACCATTCTGATCAGCTGGTTACTTGATTGCATCGTTTATAAAATGGATTAGGAACTTTTTTCTTTCGTTCGCCAGACACAAGGTGATTCCCGATGTGATAAGAAGTTTTTTAGAGGTCATTACGTGCATTTCTTGGTTCAGTTGTCAAGCTTGTCATGAGTTTCAATTTATCGCAACGAAGAACTGTTAGTTCGGGTCAATGATTTCCCGATCAGACCATCGTAGAAGTCGTGTGAGAGATCAGGGAGCACAAAATTAACCTTGCCGTTACACCCCCATTAACTTGCTGTGACTATAAAGTGACGATTTACATGAGAGAGACGTATGCCCGATCACTTCTATGAACCATTCTACGAACTTTTTGAACCATCAAATTGAACTGACTTAGACCTTCTCCCCGTTGAACCTTGGGTAACTACCGGTCGTTTTTAGTTGGTTAGAGCCGAATATGGATAGGTTATTTGCACAAAAACTCTGAGTACAGTAATCTTTCCATTTGAGACCCTTTTCATGGTTTTGTATTTCGGAAGACTGGAAAAGGCCTCGGAAAACCTGCACCGGTTGCATCCGAACTATATAATACTGGTACTTACTGAGTCACTTCATCAGCACTTTCTGCTTTGCCTTTCATCCTGCCATTATTTCCTAGGTTTTTTTTATTTGTTCATTTATTTATTTATTCAGTGCCCCATGAGACCTCTAGTAGGTCAGATCACCTAATACATGCAGAAAACATGAACACAGCACCTTATAAATTGGTAAACAGCACTCCAGTTGGGTTAGTAGGGGCAAGGAGCTACTGGGTCGCTGAGCTGGAATCGGAACGAAAAGCTTGACTTGTGATGCAGACATCAAAGCGCTTTGTTCAGATTGTCGACATGTCGCATATCATCGGCGAACAGATAGCTATAAAAGATAACAAATCCTATTATGCGGAAGTGGTGTAGTGGTAAGTGGCGCGCTATCTCACGCGCATGGTCACGGGTTCGAATCCTGGTTCGATATCCGCCTAGGCTAACCAAACCTTCCATCCCTACGGGGTCGATTAATTGTTACCATAGTTGTCTGTAAGGATAAAAGCACTTTCATGTGTAACGGCCAACCACCCAAGTCAATGTATAAGCCGCATACGCATACAAAGCGCCACTACGATTCCTTATGGAAGTCAAATGGGCAGACGCATACCTCAAATGGGATTGATTAAAACCAGAGACTTTATCCTAATCAGAAATTATTGTGAGATATTACATTATATCATGTAAGTTCAGACGTTTTCTCCCTTCTGCTTCTAATCCATCTTTTGTTCTTTAACTTTCAACTTTCAACTTCCAGAGGTCCATTGTACCGCTTTTCTGTTTATTCGTTCTTTTGATATAGCAACGAACAAGTTTTTTTGCATTATTCTAGGCCCCATGTTTACGTATCATAGAGCACATGAATAAATAAATAAATAAATGAATAAATAAGCTTGTATACTGCCAGTTCTTTCACATGGAACAATCGCATGAGCAAACGTCCTCGTTGGAAAACGATTGATGGATGTTATGTAACTACGTTATGATTCAAAGGGATTATGCAAAATACCTATATTATAAAAGCGAGAGTCGAGGCAAAAACCTCATACCTTATAGTAAAAACCCATTGTAATTCCTGAAGGCAGTTTACCGGAGGACTTACGAAGTTAATATGTCCCTTATTTTTTCCTTTGTTTGTTTTTCCATTTCACTCTCCATTTACCACATTCCTAAAAATTTCGTACATTTGTTTGACCCAGTTTTTAGTTGTTTATTTACTTATTTGCTTGTTTATGGCAATGCATAATTCATTTGTAGGGAACGTCACTAAGTTTAGCATCACAACAACTTATATAATGTATAACATGTATAAACAACAACATATTTTACTTTGCTCACTAAATAAAAGTCAACAATTTGTAAAAAATTAAATTCCAATTTCAAAATTAGTTCGAAATTCAATTTTGTAGATAGTTTTTGAGAAGAAAAGAGCGTTTTGCGGTTTACCTCGGAGAATCGTTGAAAACAAAGTTTGAAAAGGTTGCTGACGTGCTTTTTTCGAATATCTTAATGACTGAAAGGATAGATTGCCTAATGTTTAACGAAACTATTATTGAAGATTGCGCCATGCATTCGACTTCCATTCGACCCCAGACTTGCTTTCACTGCTTTCATTACTCAGCAATATTGTGCAGTGACCTATGGAGGCCAGTTAATGTCGAATTCAAAGATTTCATGATTTCCAAGATTTCTTGCAAATCTACACTGACCTGGTAAGGGTTTAATCTGAGATTTGTGCGTTGGGCCGTTGGGCCGATAGCGCCTTTTCTTACTACTTCATCTTGATCTTCTACTTCAGTAAATAACCGTCGTGATTTAAGGGAGACCTTCGTAATTAAAAACGGTTTATTAACTGGCTACTCTTTAATGTTGAATAGAAATTTTGCCGCGCGACAGGGTCCACTGTAAACGACAGGAACGACAGTGAGCGGCAACCCTCGTAGATGGCGGCAATTCCCACTGACAGATAAAGTGAAAAGCTTCCCGAATTCTGTAATTTTTTCAAGAAAGCCGGCAGATGGTCAAATGACCTTTTGAAGAGTGCTCTGCTTCTATTCTTAATAAAGAATAGAGGCTAATATCCTGGGGCGTTAGGCAATCCCGTCGAAGTAGTGCACCCAAGCATTCGACTTCCACTCGGTATAGTAGTGGCGTATTGAATGCGTATGTGGCTATGGCTTGCAATAGGCAGCCGATGTTTAAGTCATTCTTTTAACCTCCCACAAAGTTTGATACCAACTAACCAGCCCCGGAGGTACGGAGGTATGGGAGGCTCGATTGATGGCCCCACTAGATACCTTTTTTGTTTGAAAGTTAGTGCTATTGGCGTGGAATAAGAGCTCAGTACATTAGAGAACTTAAATCCCCCTCCTCTTCTCCGGCATGTTCTCCTTTAAGAGGAATTTGTTTCTGAGACGGGGTCAATTTCCGACTATTTGCGTTCTAAAGCGACTCGTGGAGGCGTTCACAAAGGACCTCCGATTTTCTATAGAGGTCTTACATGGAATGTACGTGAATATTCGTTGCAGTCCGAACAGTAAATATTTGTCGACCTTTGGCCTGAACTGGACGAGGAGCGGCTGATGGCTGGCGGCGGCGCGCGAGGAGGCGGTCTTACAGACATAAGTTTGCTTTTTGCTTTGTCCACGGTTGTAATCAGCTGAGATGTTGACATAAAGAGCACGAAAAGCAAATTTCGGATTAAAGGTGGGCAAAGCCTCACGACGATTTACCATTCCCTGATGGTGCCGAGAGGCATACTTGACCACATTTTTGTCTGCTCTGCAGCCTCAGAGTATCATGAGCACATTTCCCAACAGTCTTAAATTCTCGGCCAGGGAATCTCGTCTTCTCTAGAATTTCAAGGTCCCTCTTAAAAATGTGTCGCCATCGACTCCTGCAGTCGTTCTCATGACTGAAGGAATAGACTACGTCTGTCAAAATGACTACTGGGGTGCTTAGATTAACGGCTTTACGTCATGTGAATGGTTTTTATTCCAAGAAATTCAGAGGCATCATGGGGCCCATTAATATTTTTTGGCCGATTGCTCTTTGAAAGAGTGGTGTTTACTTC